TAATCCACACCTCTAAGCAACCGAGTAAATTCATACCCCATGCACACTACATCCTTCACGAATAACAACTCAATCATTCCATGATTCCCATATACCCATAAAGTGTAATACATCATGCATCCAAAAACTTCCTTTCTTACGTTATCCTAAAACCAGCTTCAGCAAGTCATAACCGATCCATAAGTATGCCTCAGACCAAAACCAATACAACACATAACTGTGCAATCAACTCATCGATAGCAGACTCCCCCACTTGGCTCAAAGCCATGGAATAAAACATCTGATAACTTACAATAACTATACCTCATTATTGCCATAATACCGCATTGAGATTCAACTAAATCATTCATAAGCTCATGTAACACAGACCATCTAATACCTCAAATCACCTGCAAATCTTGCATTCATCCTCGTGATGGTCAGGTCAACTATTACAACTTATCCAAACTCAAATTGCACAAATATAACCCGCTGGTAGAAAATAAAGCCTCCACACAACATCATAAAAATCACACATCCGTAGATTACCTTGCAGGTTATAACCCACCTGCCTAGCCTCAAACTGGCCTTTATTTATACCTTTTCACAACCACAACTACTACGCAATCACTTAATCTTCTTGAGTCTGAACCCATCAACAAGACATGAAAATCTACTTCGTTCCACAATTAGACAATAATGAAAAATCTTCCAATACACTCATAACTCGAGACTATATGTCACATCAAGACAGAAATCAAGCACCCAATAGTCCTTCCTACATCTTAATCAAACTCTTCTCATCACATTCAAACCATCTAAATACATATCGCAGTCACATCATACTCATCACGTAGCCATCGAGCCACCCATCGAGCCACGAATTCCACTTATAGGGACACTACCATACCTATAAGTCCAAAACACGTGCTCACACAACCGAAATCCCTATGTTCAAGATACAATTAAAACCCGGCCTCAAGTCCTCTAGACTGGCCCATCATCAACACATAGAAATCACATCTCGCACCTCATCCATGGAATCGCAAGTCACCGAAGCATAGCTGATACCGGGTGATCACATGTGCATACAAATGCATGGAAGGAATTTAAAGAATTACACTTCAAGCTGAATGAATTCCGCACGATAAGGAAAGAAAGATGGAAAATTTATCCTAAATGCCATGTAGCCTCTCGAAGATAGGTATAGACGTCATCACACTGATCCGTACAACTCTACTAGACACTTGCTCATGACTTGTAGAACCTAAGAAACTAGAGCTCTAATACCAATCTGTCACGACCCAAAATCCACTAGATACATCGGGCCTTTTGAGATTCTTGAGCAAGTAGGAGAGGTGGTTTACAAACTTGCATTGCCACCTGGTTTATCAGCGGTCCATCTAGTGTTCCATGTGTCTATGCTTCGGAAGTATCACAGCAATCCATCGCACGTGTTAGATTTCAGCTCTGTCTAGTTGGACAAGGATTTGACCTATGAGGAGGAGCCGGTGGCTATTCTAGCCTGACAGGTTCGTCAGTTAAGATCGAAGAGCTATCCTTCAGTCCGAGTTTAGTGGAGAGGCCGGACCATTGAGGTAGCTACTTGGGGGTCCGAGTCAGATATGCGGAGTAGATATCCCTACCTTTTCACCAGTCCAAGTACTTTTCTATGTTTGTTCGAGGACAAATGGTTGTTTTAGAGGTGGAGAATGTGATTACCTAATAGGTCATCTCATATTTTGAAACCAAATTCTATGATCCAAAGCCTTAAAAACCATTTTTAGGCCTTCCTCCATTTGCATGCGCAGTCCGAGAGTCTTTTCGGAAAGCTTTTATGTTAAAAACTGTTAAAAAGAGAAAATTTGCCTAAAACTTTATTTGGGTTGACATCAGTCAACATTATTAGTAAACGGACTTGGATTCATATTTGACGGTCCCGGTGGGCGGTGGGTCTGTATTATGATTTGTGACTTGGGCGTATGCTCGAAATCGAAATTAGAAGTCCCTAGCTTGAGATATCGGACTTTGTCGAAATATGAAAGTTAAAGACTTAATGAATTTGAAAGGTTTGACCCATAATTGACTTTTTGGATATCGGATTTGTATTTGGGTTTCGAAACCCAGTAGGGGTCCAATACCACATTTATGACTTGTCTGTGAAATTTGGTGAGAAACGAAGTTGATTTGACGTGATTCGGACGTCCGGTTGAGAAATTAGAAGTTTCAAAATTTTCTTGAAAATTTCATTTGATTTGGTGCTTAATTCGTAGTTCTAGGTGTTATTTTGGTGACATAATCGCGCGATCAAGTTCGTATGGTGTTTTTAGACTAGTGTGCTCCTTTGGTTTAAAGCCCCGAGGGCTCGAATGAGTTTCAGATATGCTACGGAGTGAAATTAGACTTAGAAAATATTGCTGGTGTATCTGATCTTATTACAGGCCTCTAATCTTGCATTTGCGAGATCAGGCATCGCATATGCGACCTCTGAGGGCTTCACATTTGTGAGCTTCTCAACGCAAATGCGAAGAGAAGCTGGGTCAACAGTTTTTGCATTTTCGAGTTTTCTTTCTCATTTGCGAAGGGAGTCTGGTAAGGGCAGAGATCGCAAATGCGATCATTGAGTCGCATTTGCGGAGATTCAAGTTTGCATTTGCAAACTTATCTTCGCATTTGAGAAGGTAGAAGAAGTGTGAAGGGCTTCGCATTTACGATGGCTTTTTCGCATTTGCGGGCTTTGCATTTGTGAAGCCCAGGTCGCAAATACGACATTTGCAGCTGTGTAAAAGTGACTTAGATGGGATTTTTTTCCCATTCTTCAAATTTTCAAAACCTAAAACACATGAGGCGATTTTCCAAAGACCATTTCTTCCCCCAAAATATTGCTAAGTGATTCTAAACTAGTTTCTTTCAATCTTTCACTTCATTTTATAATATTTCAACTTAAAATCTAAGGTTTTCATGGTGAAATTGGGGATTTTTGGGTAGAAACTAGGGATTTCAAACTTTGGGGATTTAGACTCAACTTGAGGTCATATTCCAAAACCAATTATATATCCAAGCTCGAGGGTGAGTGGGTAATCCGATTTTGGTCAGAATTTCGGGTTTGGACTAAGCGGGCCCGGGTGTTGACTTTTTCAATAATGACTTAAATTGAATCTTTTGCAATCGTGGGTGATTCCTAAGGCTTATTTTGAATAATTTGGTTGGTAATTTTTTAGATATTGCTGGTTCAAATGCTAGTTTGATAGGCAAAGCCGTGGTTGAGCTTTGAGTGGTCCTTGGAGCGAGGTAAGTATTGTGTCTAACCTTGACTTGAGAAAATTAGGAACCCTCGGATTAAGTGCTATGTGATTCTCATATGAGCGGTGTATATGCGAGGTGACGAGTGCTTATACGCCGCCAAATTATATGTTTCTCCCTGATTTACCATTTTCCTTAATTGTTTCCTTTCCTACCTTAACTGTTATATGTTCTAAATGTTTTCCATGCTTAACTGCTACCTGTTAGTCAATATCTTCTCATGCTAATGATGTTAGTCTTCTCATAGTTTCACAAATCCCTACTATTTTCTTAACTTGACTTGTTTGCACTTTCTAATTGTAAATTGCTGGATTGGTCTCATTGTGCAGTGTTACCTATGTAGGTTCTATATTGTGCAAGGTTTCTTTTGGTTCGGTTTGGTAATTATTGATTGTAAAAGCTTTGTAGTTTGAACTGTTAATTTGACTGTGTACAGTGAGTGTTTAGTACTGATGTGGTGGGATCGGGCTGCACGCCGCATCATATGTAATAAAGGTGGATTGATATGGTAGAATAAGGGTGAATTCATATTGCACAGTGAGATTGGATTGCACGCCGCAACAGGTGGAATAAGGGTGGATTGGTATGGTGACATAAGGGTGAATTATGATTCTAATATTGACATATGGTGGGATCGGATTGTGTGCCGCAACATATTTATATTATTTACTGTTATTTATATTGTTACGGTGAAATAAGAGAGGATTTTGTATTGTGTGGTGGGATCGGGTTGCGTGCCACAACAATATATATGTTTACATTACTTGAACTTTGTTGGCTTCCGGTATTTGTTTGAACTGTTAAGAGATTGGTGATTCTGGCCGGTGCTGGTTTATTCTTGAGGTTGTGATTATTATTTCAGTTGACTATTTAAATTTTGTTCAGTATTCCTATTTCCTATCATTTTTATATATTGCGTACAAGTTATAGTGTAGGTGACCCGCCTTAGCCTCGTCACTACTTCATCAAGGTTAGGCTCGGCACTTACCAGTATATGGGGTCAGTTGTACTGATACTACACTCTGCACACATTGCAGATTTTGGAGTCGACCCCAGCGGCAGTTATTAGCATGCCCAAATTGGACATCGGCAAAGACTTGAGGTACGACTGTTCAGCGTCCGCAATTGCTGGAGTCCCCGTCCTCTTTCTTTTTAGCTGTATAACTTCAATCAGACAACTTTGTACTTATTTTAGACCTTTATATGTGTTACTTTAGAAGCTCGTGCACTCGTGATATCAGGTTCAGGGATTTATAATAAGGGGTGGGAGTTCGGTATTTCGGTTCGGTATGTAAGAATTTCGGTTCGGTATTTCGGTATTCGGTTTATCAATTGTGTATACCAAATACCATACCAAAATATTTCGGTACGGTTTGGTATTTACTATTTTGGTTCGGTACGGTTTCGGTACAGTTTCGGTTTAACAATCAATGAATATTGAATAATCAATGCTAAATTGTTAAATGCTAACGCCTAACCTAACAGTGCACAATTGCACATGCAGTCATGCACAATTGGAACTTGGAAGAGGAATCACAAATGCAGTGTTTTCAGTTTTCACAATCGAAATTCTAAAGTGTTTGCACTTTGCACAACTGCACAATGTGCACAAGTTTGAAAACACTGAAAAGCCTGCACAGTGCACACTGAAAACACTGAAAACTTTGCACAAATTTGGAAGAGGAAGCACAACTGCACATGGCTCATGGCTGAAAGCCTGAAACAAGAATAACATATTATTCTGCAGACAACAACTTCACAATCTGGCAACTGCAGATGCAAACTTGCACGCCAGATCTGGCAATCAACTTAATAGTTAACACTTAACACTCACAGTGCAATAAAAACACAGTCCAAACTTAAACACATGGCAGCTGAACACTTAAACTGTTAAACAGTTAAACTGCAGATGCTAACTTGCACAACTGCAGTCTACAGATGCTAAACACATTAACCCGGTGCAATAAAAACAGTCCAACAAATGCAGTGTTTGCCCAATCGAAATTCTAAAGTGTTTGCACTTTGCACAATATGCACAACTGCACATGGCTCATGGCTGAAAGCCTGAAACAAGGATAGCATATCATTCTGCAGACAACAATTTCACAATCTGGCAACTGCAGATGCAAACTTGCACGCCAGATCTGGCAATCAACTTAATAGTTAACACTTAACACTGATAGTGCAGTAAAAAGTTAAAAACAGAGTCCAAACTTAAACACATGGCAGCTGAACACTTAAAATTGTTAAACAGTTAAACTGCAGATGCTAACTTGCACAACTGCAGTCTGCAGATGCTAAACTGCAGTCCAAACTGCAGTCTGCAGACAACAAACTTGCGAACTTCTCCGTTATCTTCTTTCACCACAAAGTATTCCCAAATATCAGAGCGTTGAGTAGTAGCACGGGGCATGATTGCACTTGAACTTGAACCTAAAAAAAATATAAATCATATGTTAGAATATTATAGTTTGATGATAATAAAACAAAACTACAAACTATTAAGTATATCATTATCACCAAACAAATAGAGTATTAAACTTACCCCTCAAGATNGAAAACAATCCTTAATAGCTTTAGCCATCTCTTCACCCTTATGACTAGTGATAGGGCAAAAATTAAGTATTCTTTTATGCAACTTCCAATCCCTATCAGTGAAGTGGGCTGTCAAACACATATAATTTATTCTTTGTAATGAAGTCCAAGTGTCTGTTGTTAGGCAAATTTTTGGATGTGCTTCTCTAAAAGAACTT